TGAGGCTGGACCCAACCCAAAAACCTGAGGATTAGAAAGAAAGAACTGAACTGCTCTTCAGGTCTAAGCCATTAGGCCTTCCTTCTAAAGTATGAAGAATATAAATTTAACAACAATTATTGGATGAGGCTTTTTATGGCACACATTGAAGCTTCATACAATAAAACATTATAATTAGTAATTGTCGCAGATATGTAACATGTTCTCCCGGAGATGTCAAATGATCTATGTGCCCACAAAACGGCAGAATTGCAATGGAAAGTTTAACCAGTGATGATCAACTGATCCTAATTTGCATAATCTGATCCATCACTGAAAATGTTCGTGAGCGGTAAACAGAAACAGTACTCGACCAAAACACTTCAAAATCAGTAAAACGGTAAACTCTAAATGGCACAAAACTCTCTAAAAGGCACAACAACTGCTCACTGGTAACTGTCTAAAACTCTGCCGTCTAACCTCCACCCAACTTAAATCGTAAGCGTAACTAACGTACGCGTAACTTAAATTCAAAATGTTTCCGTGCACGCGCGCTATTCGCGCGTCACGCCACTTTGGAACTGTCTTCTTAACATGTAACTTGCTTAGTATATGCAATTCAGGAGTTAAAAAGGTGTTTTAGTGCTAGTGTAAATGTAGTACTACACAACTGTAGATGCTACATTTAAAGTTCAAATATTATCTCTTCATAAACATTACAATATGTAACTTACCGAGGTGATGGAAGTCCTTTTGGGTTTTTACCCCTCTTTCCTGGAATAAAATAATTTTTATAAGTGAGAAAAGTCTCAATAACAATGAATCTTCTCACTAGAGATCTACAAACTTTGAAGATCACTAAGTAAGAAGAGAAACCCTAGGAATATGCAAGGAATGGTGCATTTTTTAAACAAAAATTATCCCATAGGATGAAGACATTGTTTGGTTTTTGAAACAAATGTGCCAGACCACTAGGATGCACCTACGGGATTTGTTTGAGAGTGGTCAGCGGTACGTCACTTTCAACATCCTGAATGAACATGTAGATGAGCCACCTTGTGGCCATTTACATGAGATTTCGTAGAGATCTTCAAAGTTTGTTGCATGTTTGTTGTTCATCATGCCGTTGTACAAAGCCTGGGACATGATATGAGTTTCAAACAAGAAGAGAGTAAGAAAAATTGATAAAGTTGTCTGTTATTATTGTAAATGAAGGGGTTCTGTCAACAGCTTAGCCTCTTGGCGAGGGAAATTGGCCAGTGTAAATTTTATGCTCTAAAACCCATGGAGTAATTCAGTAGGTTTTTGTTTGATGCTGAAAACTTAACAAATCCCAGGGGGTGTCCCGGGGGTCAACCGCGAGGGGAAAACCCCCGGGAAAGCTATTCATTACAAAAAAATGGCAAAACATGTTATCATAACTTTCCTTTTCTCAATAGCTAAGTATCGGGTACATAGTTATATATGCAGTTGTATATACAGATATATAAGTATCCGTACAAATTATTATATGGGTTTATATTATTAACCACACCCTTAATTAGATCTAACTAGCTGTGAATGTAATGTAATGTAAATTTGTAATTAGTGTTAGTAATTAGTGCTTGTAAGTTTGTAAATTATTTTGTCATTAGTGTTAGTAATTAATTGTAATTGGGGTAGTGTAAGCGTTAGTGTAATTAATTATGTAATATTGTTTGTATCGCTCTCATAATTGTGCTTTAAGTAACAATAAAATGTTAAAAAAAAATAAAAAAATAATAATAAAAATAATGATAAGAGCATAGCTCTTTAGAAATCAAAATCTAATGCTAGCTTAACTAATAAGTAATGAGTCAATTTCCTGGTAAACTCAACCTTATTAAGCTCTATTATCCAACTGCAGCGAATACCGTCCAAATACTGTACCAGTACAAATATACAGCAATATTGTTCAGTTACATGTATTTGTTCCATAGAAAATCTGTTTGCTGTACAGGTCGGCGCGTATACACAAAACTGTCAGACTCTCCCTCCTTCATTGATAAATTTATTGACTACAGCAGTTGGATAATAAATCTCTTATGAAATGTATTGGTGTGTAGTATCGCTTTGCATTTTTACTCATTGTTAGGGCAAGTCAAAATACAGCACAACCCGTAAAATATATAGAGGATGTTACACAGTGGCCAGAAGATATGAATTTTATGTTCTGGCCACAAGAACATAAAATTCATATCTTCGAGCTAAACGTGTAATGTTCTTTTTGTTATGTAGACATACTGATGATGGCGTTTTTGACGATTTTCCGAAGATTTCCAACCACTTTCCGAAGATTTCCGAATATTCTCCAAAACTTGTCCGAAGGTCACCCGAATGTTGCCAAACATTTTCCCAAAATTTCCAAAGATTTCCGACGATTGCCGAAGATTTTGGAGGAAGACCCGTAGATGTTACCATCATACACCAACGAATTAAAGTACAATTTAAGAGACAAACTTGATATCAGTGAAATCATCGATATCTTCACTAGTGAGGATTGGAAAATACGCCACTCGAATCGCGGATGTGGTTTCGTATGAATTTTACGAGTGATGTATTTTCCAGTGAAACACTCGTGTCTATATAATAAACAGCGATACTACACACCAAAATATCTAAAAAGATATATTTAATGTGGGCCAGGAAGCAAGAGCTACTTAAGCTTAAATATTCAGCTAAAAAATACAGCGGTTTGTTCTTCTTACCGCTTTTAGATGAACCAGACATGATGATTCTCTTCAGATCTTCTTCGGAATCAAGACAACGAAAATTTAAGTGAAGGGGTTTAATCTCATCAGAATCACCGAGCACCGAGTCTAACCTTCATGTCCATTCCTCACTTGTGCAAGTCTGTCGGTTTGCTGCAAAGCTTCAAACCGAAATAACTGACTCAGGGATTTCCCTCCAGCTTACCTGGCCCAAACAATGACCGAAGGACTGTGCCTGTTGCAAAGTTTAAAACGAGAATGCGAACGGTCAGTGGCAAGAAAAGAACGTTCGTCGAACTCTATGTGGTGTAACAATCATGGATTTGGCACAGTTTTAAATTCACGGATAAATAAAAGAGGGTCGTTAAGGGAGGTCTCTGGCACGATTCACGAATGGAAAAAAATAGAGGATCACGAATCACGGATATAAAGATTTCGTTTTCCCGAATCACGAAAATAAGCCAGTAACATAATCTTTTTAATGACCTGTTAATACATACTAGAAATAGTGTTTGAAGAAGGAACAATAGCGACTGGCTAAGTCAAGGCTCCATATTACAAATCGCACACCTACTGGGTCACCCTCTATAGACAGTACAATTCTAACCATTCGGAGGACTCGCGTCTCAAAATCACGTAGAATAGAGCGGTAAAATCAAGAATATCGGTTGTTAATTCGGGTTCTTCACGGGTCACGCAAAACTTTCAGGTCACTAGTCACGAAGAATAATCTCCTAAATTCGCGTTTCACGGAAAACAAAATCAGCTAATCACGCATCACGAGAATACCCCTCCACGACCCTCATAAAATAGTGGGACCCCCCACAAAATAGGTCAAATAGCGATATTCAAAAAAAAGTAACGATCTTATTAGCCAAGCACGGGGGTTGTATTACCATTATTCAGAGGTAGCGTGGCCGAGTGGTGAGGGCGCCAGACTTGAGATCGGAGATCGCGGGTTTTTGTCCCATTCTGACCACTAGCTGGTGGCAGGTGTTGTTCCCGACCCCGGCCACACTTGCAAATAGCCAACTGATCTGCCTCTTGCCAGTTGGGATTT